TATCTATCTATCTATCTATCTATCTATCTATCTATCTATCTATCTATCTGTCATGTCGGTGTCTCTCTAGCTGTCTGATCCCTCTATCAACAGCTAGGTGGTGCAATGGTTAGAGTGCTGGGCCTGAAGTCAGGTAGACCTGAGTTAACTCCTACCTGTAACTTTCTAGCTTGTGTTCCTGGGTAAGTCACTTAATCTCTGTCTGCCTCAATTTCCTCAACTCTAAAATGGGGATAATAATAGCACCTGTCTCCTAAGGTTGTTGTGAAGATCATTGAAGTATTTGTAAAGTACATAGCACAGTGCCTGGAATATTATAGGTGTTTAATAAATGCTTGTTCCTTCCCCCCCCCACCCCATCCCCCAACCTATCAAGATTGAATCTTCATATCTCACCCTGGCTAGATGTGTAGAGTTCACTCATTAATTTCTGGACACACATTTGATAAGTTTAAGCCCAGAACAGCTCAGAACTCACAGGCTCGAGAGATCTGCCATCCCCAGCAGATTACAGGCAGGTACTACCACACACTCAACCAAAGGCACTTATTTATGAGACAACTATGATTGTAAAATACCATAGTTGAGATCAGATCCATAACCTGGATCTTACTTGGACCCAGAGTTATGTAACATTCTTTATATTACCTTAACATGTGGCACCATTAACACATATGTACTTTTAATCTGCCATGTAATCATTTCTATTTCTTTTTTCCTTCTAGGGGATCAGTCCATCAGAACTTTCCTGACTTTACGTTTGTGACTGGTAAAGTACTTGGATGCATATTCTCATTAAAAGGAGATATTGATTCGGTTGTAGCCATTGATTTAAGCAACAAAGCATCATTAGCTTTCTTGCAAAAGCATTTAGGTAAGAAACTATCATAGGTCTTTTCATAAAATAGCCACTATTTAACACCAAGCTGGGGTGACCTATTTTCAAGTTTCAGTTCTCTTTGAGAAATCCAAATATTTAGATTATAATTTCAAAATACAAGTCTCATCGAAACTGAAAGTAAATCAAGGTAGAAATGAAAACAAAATTATTTCAGCAACACCATAAAATTTTATATGCCATGATTCAGTTTACTGTGCATATCTGTCACTGACATATAAGTGGCCTGTAGCACATATAGATATTAAATTGTATTATGCCATAAAATGGTATTATAGTACACACACACACACACACACACACACACACACACACACCAGAAGCATCCACATCAAAGAGTTTCCTATGCAGATGAAATCACAGGTCTGGAGAGGCACAGACAGACAAACAGACCAACATATGCTCACAGTATAGCAGCATTAGTAGTATATGCTTTATCTTGTAGCATATACATTTATCTCTTGAGGCTAAAATTTATATTGGGGTTGATTGTATGCTGGGTCTACTGAAAGCTGAGTTCCTCAAACATCTCCCTGCAGAGCTGCAGCTATCCACAGACATAATTTCCTAACCCCACTTTCCTTGTGAGGTTTTTTGAAATAGTTCTTTCCTTAAGTTTTTCAGAGTATTTCTGTTTAAAATTGCTAGTCACTATAATACCTTCAATTCCCTAATCAAAAAAATTGTGCACATTTGTATTTTTTTCCTAGATCTTCAGAGAAATTTTAATCAATGGGACCATTTAATTGAAGGTGAAGATAAAAACCTCATTCCAGATAGCAATGCTGATTCAGTTACATACCTTTCTGAGTACCCGGAATAAAGAAATGTGCAGTGTCAACCAACCCATTTAAAAAAAAACAAACTAAATTACGTTTCACTGAGACCGCAGTTTTTTTTTAACTATTGCCCACATACTTCTTAAAATATAGACTATGTTATAATCATTGGTTAAGACTCATCTTGATTAAAGTGACTGAAGTTTATTATGCTTAAATTCAAAGGAGTTCAGTGTACAAAATTCATAGCAGCCTGTATTTTTATTATTCTCATATTTGGGGGTGTTAATGTTTATGAAACATTTCTACATTGTCCGCACTTTCTGATGAAGGGCTAATTCAGGTAGTGATTAGTGCCCCTCTCACAGTTCAGCAAACCAGCAGCAAAGACTCATCTGCAAAAAATAATTGAGTTGATATCATCTTGGTTAGCAGGAGAGAAAGGGAGTAAGGGATGGGAATGAAGGTTGTATTCACACTTACTTCCTTTTACATTTCAGATATGGGGCACTAAACACCTTTGATCCAAGGAAAGAAGGATCAGGGAGAAAGTGCCATTCAGGGTACCGATTGGTGTCTTCCCCCGGTACCCCAGGTGGTATAATTGTCCCCAAACTAATGACCATCAGACACTTCACAGTACAGAGGAGGTAGGAATATGAAAGTAGGAGGAAAAACAGCTAGGTGGGGAAAGAAAGCAGCCAGATATTGCTAGTTACTCTTTAACATAATCCTTTGTCTAGCACAGAAAAAAACAAAACACATTCCATTTTCTGAGCAAAGAGTTTTATAATGGAAAAAAGACTTAACAAGGAAATGTCTTATCAGGATAATTATAGTATATATTCAAGAATTTTATGAGAATATTTTTCCTATATTTTCAATCTTGAAATAAAAATTATAAGATTATATGTAAAACTGTGTGATGGGGTAAAAACACAAATACACTATTTACTGGAACCTAGATCCTTAACAGAAAACTGCTCTTTTGAGATCTTAACCAAATAACTTCACTTTCACATCAGTATTTCTTAATCAATGATACCCTGATTCCAATCAGATAGGAAGGGTCTAAGAAAACTGAGGTGGTGTGGAGTGTGGGAATATAGAAAAATACATACATTGGATCATCAATACAGAAGGAAACTTGGACAGCCTGTAGTCCAATTTGCTCCTTTTTAAAATAAGAGCCAGAAAACAAAGATACCCATTGATTGAAATGGCTTAAACAAGTAGTAGTAACATGAATGAAATGAAATGTGACTGTACTACACCAAACAATGAAGAGTGAATACAGAGAGGAGTGGAAAGATGTGTATGAACTGATGCAAACTGAACAAGTAGAACCAGGAAAACAACATACACAATGTAATGTCTACAATGATGTAAATGGAAAACAATTGAGGGTGAATGTTGTGAAATTATAATCTCCAATACTGGACTCCCAAAAGACATGAGAAGCCATGTCTTCTCCTGTACCATCTTTTTTTTTTTTTTTTAAAGAGGTGGGAGACTGCAGGTTTGGAACATCACAGAAGTCAACTTTCAATGGATTGTTGACCTGTTTTTTCTTCTCTTTTTGTTATAAGAGATGGTTCCCTGGGAGGGGCAAGGATACATGGGGAATTATAGGTGATGTAAAAATGAAAGATATCAATAAAAAACCCTCTTTTTTTCCAAAATGAAGTACAGGAAGCACAAGTGATTTTGTCTAAGTCTTATGCAATCCAGGTCTTCTGATTGCCAACTCCAGTGTTTTCTCACCGCCAACCTGCATTTCCTCCGAGAGTCTTCTCCAAGACTCCAAGAGTCATGAAGCTCATTAGGTTGGAGTTCTCCAGTCGTTTCCATGCACTCTGATGCCATGTGCTTATTGACAGTTATTCAACAGACCTTCAGTCTCAATTTTGGTACTTCCAGCCTTGGTACAGATAACAAGTCATTCACACCTCCTTATTCACTACTGCCATTGTTTTTGGTCTTCAATAGAACCCAATTTGCTGAACATCCTCTGAGTCTCTGTTCTTTCTTTTTTGGCTATTTGACCTACCCACTTTTTCTGCTTATCCTTTGCTCAGGTAGCCCTTATTCTATTTCTTGAACCCAGATAGTTGGAAATACTTACAGTTTATACCCACCATATTTTCTCTTTCATTTCCATTGGGGTCACCTATTATTGTCAATTAAATGCATTGATAATACAAGCCATTACTACTAACAGTTCCCAGTGCTTTAAGGTTGATATATTTTCCTCACAAGCCTGTACCATTGCCTTATTTTAAAAATGAGGAAATAGAATGAGAAAAGCTAGTCTGTCCAGATTTACACAAGTAGGAAGTATGCAAAGCCAGGACTTAAATGTGAGACTAATGTCCTTTCTTCTTTTTGTCCCAGGTTTTTACAAATGTTATCCTACAACAAAGTATATTTCCATAGTCCTGCAATTGACTGAAAAGGGCAGAGAATATAAGATACTGCTGTGATTATTGTTTGTTGACCATAAGAAAGTATTTGATTTGGTAAAGCAAAATGAAGTTTTAATGGTTCTCCTCCAACAAAATATCTCCCAAGTACATGTGAAAAATTATACAAAATTCCTTGATAAATTCAAGGACAGATGGAACAGTAGTTTTAAAAGCACCTGTTTATGTGCCAGGCACCATGCTAAGTGCTTTACAAATATTATCTCATTCGATCCTCTTAACAAATCTGGGAGTAGATGCTGCTGTTATCCCCATTTTACAGTTGAGGAAACTGAGGCAGACAGAAGTTAAGTGATGAGCCTAGGGTCACTCAGCTAGAAAAAGTTTATCTATTGTGCCACCCGGATGTCTCAATGTTATCTCATTTAATCCTTAGAACAACCCTGGAAGGTAGGTAATATGACATCTTACAGATGAGGAAACAGACAGACAGAAGCTAAATGACTTGCCCAGGGTCATATAGTCAGTAGGTATCTGAGGCAAGATTTGAACTCAGTTCTAATAGATTCTTCTATCTCCTAGATATCTTCTAGCTCTCTAACTACTGCAACACCTAATAGATACAGAGGGATGTGTCCAGTGCTTATTTAATGAGTTTGGGAGCCCTTCTCTATTCCTTTTTTAAAAATCCATCCCATTTCTTTTATTTTTTAAAAAACATTAACCCTTTCTTCTAAATTTTGAGTTCCAGATTCTTTCCCTTCCATTCCTCCCTCATCCACAGAGAAGGTAAACAGTATATTAAGTATACATGTGAAAGTATGCAAATCATATTTCCATATTAGCCACATCAGCAAAAAAATTATACTTCAATTTGTACTCAGAATTCTCTCTCTGAAAGTAGATAGCATTTTTTTTTATCATGAGTCCTTTGGAATTGTCTTGGATCACTGTATTGATCAGATTAGTCAAGTCTTTCACAGTTGATCATCTTTATAACATTGATGTTACTGTGCACAATAATCTGGTTCTCACTTCACTTGGCATCAGTTCATCTAGGTCTTGCCATGGTTTTTTTTTTTTTTTTTTCTGAAACCACTTCCTTCATCATTTCTTACAGCACAGTAGTACTCTATCATAATCATAGGCCACAACTTGTTCAGTTATTCCTCAATTGATGACCATGCCCCCAATTTCCAATCCTTTGCCACCACAAAAAGAGTGGTTATTTGTTTACATATTGATCCTTTTCCTTTTTTCTCTCTTTGAGGTACAGACCTAGTAGTGGTATTGCTGGATCAAAGTGCATAGTTCCAAATTGTTCTCCAGAATATTTGGACCAGTTCACAACTTTACCAACAGTGCGTTAGTCAACCTATTTTCCCCTATTCCCTATATATTTAAGAAATAAGGCCTGTGTTAGAGAAACTTGCTGTAAAAAAAATTTTATATTACTTCATTGTCTGTGGTACCTTGTAGCAATATACAGTTTTCCTGATTATCTCTTTCAATTAAGTCTATTTTTGCCTTGTCTGAGATCATGCTTGCCACCCCTGACTTCTTTTTCACTTAAGCAGAAGCATAAAAGACTCTGCTCCAACCCTTCATTTCAACTCTTGTGTCTTTCTGTCCCAAGTGTGTCTCTTGTATGCAACATATTGTTCAATCCCGGTTTCCAATCCCTTCTGCTATCGGCTTCTGTTTTATGGGTTAGCTCATCCCATTCACATTCAGTTATGATCACTATGTATTTCCTTCCACCTAATTTTCCTCTTTTTTTTCTTTTTTATCCTGTCCCTTCACAAAAGTCTGTTTTGTTTCCAACCACAGCCTCCCCCACTAAGCACTCCCTTTTATCATTCCCTTCTTCCATATCTCTTATCCATTTCCCCTCCTATCTCCCTACTGGGCAAGATAGATTTCTATACCCAACTGAATATGTATGTATTCTTTCCTCTCTGAACCAATTACTAAGAGAATGAGGTTCAAGCATTGCCCACCACCACCCCATTTTCCCCTCCACTATAAAAGCTCTTCCGTGCATGCGTCCTTTGAGAAAATTTGAACTCTACCTCTCCTTTCTTCCTTCTCCCAGTGCATCCCTCTTTCTTAGTCTTAACATTCTTTTTGTGGAGATCATCCCAACATAATCAGCCCATACCTGTGCCCCCTGTCTATTCAGACTCCTTCTAACTGCCCTAATAATAATAAAGTTCTTAGGAGTTATCATCTTCCCATATAGGAATGTAACCAGTTTAACTGCATTAGTTATTTATGATTATTCCTTTCATGTTTAACTTTTTATGTTTCTCTTGAGTTTTGTTTGAAAGTCAAATTTTCTATTCAGTTCTGGAATGTTTGGAAGTCCTCTATTTCATTAAATTTCCATTTCTCCCCCTCCCCCAAAAGATTATGATCAGTTTCGCTGGGTGGGTTATTCTTGGTTGTAATCTTAACTCTTTTGCCCTCTGGAACATCATATTACAGGCCTTCTGCTCCTTTAACATGGAAGTTGCTAAATTTTATTTGATCTTGACTGTGACTCCACGTTATTTGAATTGTTTCTTTCTGGCTGTTTGCAATATTTTCTCCTTGACCTAGGAGCTCTGGAATTTGGCTATAATATTTCTGAGAGTTTTCATTTTGGGATCTCTTTCAGGGGGTGATCAGTGGATTCTTTCAATTTCTATTTTATTCTCTAGATCTAAGACATCAGGGCAGTTTTCCTTTATGATTTCTTGAAATGTGATGTCTAGGCTCTTTTTGATCATGGCTTTCTGGTAGTCCAATAATTCTTAAATTATCTCTCCTTTTTCAGGTCACATTTTCTCTTATTTTTTTTTTTTATTTCTTTGACTTCATTTTACTGTTACCTGGTGTCTTGTAGTCATTAGTTTCAACTTACCCAATTCAAATTTTTAAGGAACTATTTCCTTCAGTGAGCTTTTGTACCTCCTTTTCCATTTGGCCTATTCTGTTTTTCAAGGTGTTATTTTCTTTAGTAATGTGCCTCTTTTCTGCCTCTTTTGCCAAGCTGCTAATTCTCTTTTCATAATTTTCTTGTATTACTCTCATTTCTTTTCCCAAGTTTTCCTCGACTACTCTTCTCTCTTTCTTTAACCTGTCTAGGAATTTTTGTTGGGCTTAGTTCCACTTAGCATTTTTTCTTTGAGGCTTTGCTTGTAGCTATTTTCACATTGTTGTTTTCTTCTGAGTTTATTTATTGGTCTTCCCTGCAACAATAGTGGCTCTCTATGGTCAGATTCTTTTTTTGTTATTTGCTCATTTCCCCAGCCTATTTCTTGACTTTGAACTTTATGTTAAAATTGGGCTCTATTCACCTGGAGGTGGGGAAATATTGTGTCAAGTATCAGGCTTTTTCATACTACTGTTTTCAGAGTAGTTCGGGGGATCTACTAGTTTTCAGTGCTTTCAAGATGGTGTTATCCTGGGAGAGGTGTGGTCACTGCTTTCCTGATCTGTGCTCTGGTTTTTACTCAGAAAAGGCCTCTGCTATCCTGCAGCCATAGGTTTTAGTGCTCCTCTCAGCCCTGGAAATGTGACCAGAATCCCTGTTCTCTTCGAATCACAAGCATTCCTCTCTGCTCTTGAATTCTGACCCAGAACTGCTTGTGAGCACAGAGTTACCAATAAGTGCCAGCAAAGGGTCCCCTGTAATCTCTTTCTGACCAGTTGTCTGTCCCCCTTACTATCTCTGGGCTGACAGCCCCTGAAGCTGCAGCTGCTGCTGCTGCAGCACCTATCTCTAAGGCTCACTGCTGGTGCTCTTGCCAACACTCTGGGCTTGTGCCCACCCCCGTGTTGCAGACTACTCCTATAGACCTCCTAAGTTGTTGTAGGCTGGAAAAATTTCTCCCTCTGATCTTTTATTGGCTTTGCTACTCTGAAATTTATTTGAGGCATTGTTTTAAAATTACTTGGAGGGAAATAGTGGGAGGGTTCAACTGGGTCCTGGCCTATACTCTGCCATCTTGGCTCCCTAACGCCCTTTCTACTGTACCATCCTAGCAAGATTATTTGCTTCTGAAGACACCCTTTCAACATGTTTAAAATACCCATCAATTCACTCACATTAATTCTGGGGCTAACCTGCAAATCATCTCTAAGAAAAGTACTCAATGTACAGCAACTAGCAATGGGGTGTTTTTACCTATTCCTAGGAAACAGTTTACAGAAAGCTCTTGTTGTTGTTTTTTTCTTTTTAATCCAAAAAATTGGTGATTTCTAGTAGAAAGTACTTTACAGTGAGAGACAAAATGGAACCTGTCTTTGTTTCTGTGGTCTTAAGTAAGAACCTTTTTAAGCCTCTTCTGTTACAGTAGAACTAATGTACCTTTCCAGCAGGTAATGAGAACCATGGGGCATAACAAGGTCCTAAATTGCCATTTAAGTCAAAGTAAAATCACTTAATGTTAATGATAATATCTTAATTTTTAAAGGGTAACATATGAATAGTATATCTATTAAACAAAATGTGATTAACCCACCATGCTGGAGAAAGTCCAATTAATATTTCTGAGCTCCAGCTATATCACTATTTTATCTGGAGCTTCCTTCCTAATTACAAGTATATGTGCAATTAAAATGAATTTAGACCTGGGGGGTAAAGAGAGAGAAGTGCTAGCATTAAAGGGGACCGAGAAAGACTTCTTGCAGATGGGATTTTACATGAAGGCTGGAAGGAAGCTAGGAGATGGAGATGAGAGAATTCCAAGCATGGGAGAGAGCCAAGGCAGGAGATGGAGTGTCTTGTGGAACAGGTATCGTGGATCATAAAGCAGGTGGAAGAGTATAAGGTTTAAAAAGACTGGATAGGTAGAGTACTTCCTTTTACTTCTATAGAATCACACCTCAGATCTAATCTTGCAGTTGTAGGAGTCAAAACCCCTGCTCCATTTATCATCTAGAGCCTGTCTGAACTTAACTAGACTGGCTCTTGAACTAATCCAGGGGTGGGGACCCTACGGCCTCGAGGCCACATGTGGCCTCCTAGGTTCTTGGGTACCACCTTTTGATTGAGTCCAAGTTTTACAGAACAAATCCTTTTACTACGAGGATTTGTTCTGTGAAGTTTGGATTCAGTCAAAGGTACCGTACTTGAGGACCTAGGGGGCCACCTGTGGCCTTGAGGCCACAGTTTCCCCACCCTTGACCTAGTCTATTACTGGACCCTCACACAAAACCTTTCCAACTTAGTATGGCACCCAACTTGATGGCTAAACCTCAAGAAAGGCATTGGGGAACTAGAAGCTTATATGTCTTCAAAAACTCAGTCTCCTTTAAATTACAAAGCTTAGAGATTCTCAAGATTAGCATGCCCAGAAGGCAAAATTAGTAACAAAGATATATTTAGGCTAGATGTAAAGAAAAACTTTCTAACAATCACAATACTCAGATGAAATGGACTGCTTCCCAAATGACTGCTGTAGTGGGAATTGTCACACTATGCTGCTGGTATGGAGAAGTAGGATAGTTTCAGAAACAAGTTAAATGTCAAATAATCAAACCCACCTATTTCTCTCTATATATCCTTTATTAAGGATTTTTTAAAAAAAGACAACCTACACAACCACCATCTTTTAAGGGCAAATTTTATTCAGTCTTGTCATGTTATACATACTCAAATTTAAACAAGTGGTCAATTATTTATTCACCAGAAAGTAAAGACAAAACTTCCGAACAAAGTAGAGCTATTACTAACAAATGAGACCCTTCTGAAGTAGTGAGTATCACATAATATACACAGGTCATGTATAACATTTTCTGTCATAAAGATTTTCCCCCTAATTTATATACTATATTTACATATATTCACTTTCTGAATTTTGACTAATATGGACAAATATTCCATGTCAAAGATAAGAACTATTATTCAGATTTAAAGAGAGATGTTGCAAATTCTTTATTTACATAGATAGTGCCACAAAATACCATAGATATATCCAACCTGAGATTTGTTAGTTTTTTTTTTTAAATCATTTTCCAAAATGGTAAGTTCTTCTCAAGGATATGAACCCACAATTTTTCTGCCAATCTGAATCTTGTAAACAAGATGCCACACATTCAGGAACTATTTCATGATTTCTGGGCAACATCTAAGGCTCCACATTTAAATCACCTCCAGATCGTTTTTCTAAAACCAGAGGGTTTGTAAAGCCTAAAGCTGAGAGAGCAGAAACAAAGGAAATATTATTTGTGCAGATGCTGCTTTATTCCTAGATCAATACTAGAGACAGATTTTTTTAGTTGCAGAAATTACACAGATCTGGTGAATGTTCAATTTGCTTTTAATCTTTGTCATAAGTTTGGGATGTGAGATAGATAAAAGTCATTAAGATTTATATGAATCTGTCATAACTATGTCTTTTGAGAATAAACAAGCCAGAACACCCTAAAATTTCCCAAAGTCAACTACTCAAACTACATACCCATTGTTCTCAATTAACTTTATGCCTAACATCACCAAAAGCAGGTAGCCTAAATCAATCTATAAAATTAAAGGGAAAAAATCCAGTGGAACATGTACTTGGTTACTACTAAGTCATTTTGGCTAAAGTATTTACTCTTTAGTATTAAGACCAAGAAAACTAACCATTTTACTTTTCCTCTGGAGGCAACAGTGATATCAGCGGTGTTTAAGATTACTACTCAAAATCTGTGTCTCAAAATTACCTTTAATAGCAGTGTCATCTGTTGAGTTTAAGTAAAAATCTTTTTCCAATGCTTGATACACACCCTACCAAAAGAAAGCCCAGAATTACTACCCACACCGTGCTACATACAAAGTGACTAAAATAAGATGAGGTTGGGTGTGGGGGAGGGGGAGAAACAAGAAAAGCAAAAGGCTGCAAAACATCTGACAGAATTAAAATTAAATTAAAGAATAGTGTTCAACTTCTCAGTTTTCTAAATAAACTCATATATCCAATCTAGCAGAATTAAACTAAGTAGCTTTTTTGTCTAGTTTTAAAGAATTATGATGAGGTTCGGTGGGGAGAAGCACCTATAAAGATATAATAGATTTCAGGATGGCAGAGGAAAATTATCAAATACAAGTATTGCTATCCACCTAAAAAAGTTAATTTTAAATTAATGGGTCAATGGAGGTTGGATGAATATACACACCAGATGAAGGGGACCTCCTTAAATATAAACTTTTATCCCAAATGGGAAATATTAACACAGCTTCCCCATGAGATGACTCGCCAAAAATATGTTTAATGTAGTGCCTTTGCTCAATACTGAAGACTTTTTAAATGAAACTTGGAAAAATTTTTATTGTGATAATCAAAGTGTCAAGACAATTCATTAAAACACCTCCAACATGTGCATTACACAGGTTATAGTCACAAATGGAAAAACCCATCTATTTGCTGATAGGAAAGTTTTGGTTTTTTTTTTTTCCAAGAGTCAAGGGTGACAGGGTTAAGTAGTCAACCTACAAAGCCAAGCCCCCAGATGTTGTACATCACCAGATTTTCTTCTCGGTTAGCTATTTTGTTTCCTTTAAATCTTCTTCCCAAATGTGTCAAGCGCTCATTTGGTTTGAGGTGTTATGGAAAAAAAAACTTGTTTAGTAAAACCAAAGATTATTATTATAAATCTAGGCATTCAGAACATCAGTTTTCTGAAGTCAATTTTGCTTTCAAGATTTCCTTTATAATGTTCTATATAATGTTGGTTTTAGATTATACTCAATTAAAAATTCCAAGACTGGGGACTAAAGTATGAAGCTTAAGAAATGGAGACAAATACGCTATACTTTAATGTACTGTTAAGGTACTTCCCAATAACTTTACAATAATAAAATTTTATAATTCCATACCTCAGATGGACTGTTATTTAATTTAGGTATTCCATTCCAGACATTTTCTGGGTTCACTATTTCTTCCATACCATTTGAAAGGTTCAGAACCTTAGAAAGATAACCATGAGTTTATTTTAGACAAGGGGCTATAACCCAAATCAAAATTTAAGTTGTAATGAAACAGATATCATGACACCTAGAATGATCAGATCCAAATTTTAAAATATTTACTATTTGCTAACTTACAAGGTATCATTTTAATTAAACTTCCAATTTGTTATTAATGAAAAACAAACCATTTCAGTGAGGTTAACAGACTATATATATTCCAAGTAAAACAAATGAAATACTCAGGGAGATTTTCTTTTTTATTGCACTTTTGTTGTCATACGAATATGGCAGACAGTGCAAAAACCTTGGAAATGCTTTTTTTTTCCTTTTTCTTTAGTAACAAGAAAGCAAGTTTCCCATGCTTCTGTAATCTCACAGAAGACCACAGTAAGAACAACTGTATTGCTAGAACAACTTCTTCAAGGCATTTTAGGGTAGCTGCGTCAGCATAGTTAGCCTGAGAAATAAATAGGTGCTGATTTTATTTCATATACTATAACAAAAGGCATTTTCTACCGGAAGAAGTCCTCTTTTAATGCCACTAAATTTTTCTTAACACTCCAATAATTATTTGACCTGAAACACTTAAATCCAATTTACCTTGGTACCTTCATCAGCTATTTCCAAAATCCGGCACTCAGACCAGGTATTCCTTAGGCTTGACCAGACAACACATTTCGAACCAATGGTGAATCCTTCAAGAGTATAGGTATTCTCCATTTGAGCTAGAAAATTCAAAAAAAGTTAGGCTTTCTTGTCTATACCTTTTTTCCCAAAATTCTTTAGATCCTGGATTTTCAAAGCATTTTCCAAAATTGCCTTTATTCCTTGGTGGATTTTTTTTAATAGATTCAATGAATTTGTTCTTATCCTTTCCCCTTCTACTTTTATTCTCCCATCAGCCATTGATACCTTTTTTCCTCACCTTTTGGTCACAATGGGAAAAGTGTCACCAAAGAGCCAATCAGAGAATAGGAGTATGCTCAAGGGTATGTAGTATTATCTCAGACAAAGTAATCTTAGCCCTTCAAAAAATCCAAATGCCAGTGAAAGTTAGATGCTTGCCATTTTCTATAACCATACCACCAGCCTAACCAGAACAGAAAAATGGCAGACTATCTTAAAGCAAAGGAACAGAATTTTTAATTTTTATATTTCTGACTTTATAAATCTTTATAAATTTTTTCTTATTTATCTTCTTTTATTAAGGACAAGTTTTCTAAAACAATTCTGAGTTTTTTAAGTTCATAGGAAATTAAAAACACAACAGTTTGGCATAAGAGACTTGTAAGCATCATAAAATGATGGCGAAGGAGGAAAAATGTTAAAAATTATCCTCGTATGTAAAATGAGGCTGTTAGAAATGCCAAATATTTAGGATACCATAACACTTAAGAAATTTTAAAATCACTGATTCAGGAAATTGAGTCTCTGCCCATCAGTGCATAAAGGAAATAACTAAGCAGTTTCAAAATGTCTCTATAAGTGAACATATGACAAATATACATTTTGATGTAAGATACTGTATCAAGATATGCTGAGTTAGATCTTAACCCATCTTTAAAAATTAAGATAACTTCAAGTCCATAAATCTCTATTTTATTAGGAATAAGTTACCTACAGCTTAGATAAATCCTGCCCATCCCCCCACCCCCTACCCCTATAAATCTGCCATTTCTTGGTGTCTTCCACACAAATTAAACACACATACGCACACACACAAAACAAACAAACAAACAAAAAAACCTTTGAGATTCAAAATTTCCTAGCTTAAGAAATTCAGTCCCTGAAAGGATGAATTATATACATCACTAACTTCAATAAAAAGTAATGAGGAAGTAAAAAAAAAAAAATCGTACCTGAAGCATGGTCTGTTAAAGCATTCCCATGGTTTTCTTCCGCCTTTATTTCTTCTTCAGGGAGCAAGTGAGTCAAAGATTCAACAACAAGTCTGTTTTTGTACTCTGTAAATACTTCTTTGTACAAGTTATGTGTAGTTTCAGTTTTGGAATATATTTTGCATCTGCCAAAGGGTTTTAGGTGATTTGGTTCTCCGGGGTCCTCCAGACACAGAGTTTCCTGTGACTTCTGACTCACCTTTGAAAAGGGGCAAGTCTCCTTATCTAAAGACAGAGGCACTATAGGAGGTTCTAGTTCTAGCTGTTTCAATTTAGAATCATTTGAGAGCTGGACTGTAAACTGTTCCAGGGTTACTTTTGAGTCACATCCCTGGGAAAGCTGGGCCATGGGAGGTTCCAGGTCCAGTTCTTTTGCTTCTTCACCAGCTAGGGAAAGCTGTAATTCAATGGACTCCAGTTTCAAGAACTCTTTTGATTCTTCCATCGGGAAGGGTATTTCAAGGGAATCTAGTTCTAACATTTCCTTTGTCTCAATTCCTGGCAGCAGAGTTTCTAGTCCTGTAATCAGGTTTTTGTCATTCTCAAACTCGACCTTTTCGGCCAAGGAGCACTCTACCCTACTATCTCCAGTGTTGTCTTTGCTAGGCTGTCCCACTGCAGGCACAAAAGCAATGATGGCTTCACTTTCAAAAACAGAACTTGGTTTGGTTTCAACATGGTTTAATCCACCACTTATATGGAAAATATCTCCTTGTGGTTCCACACAAAGCAAGTCATCTTGTACAACTTTGTTAGGCTTATTTCCAACATCAAGACTCGGCGGCATGGGAATATCTGCTTCACTCTGTTCGTTTTCAGATAAAGTCTTTGGGAATTCCTCATCAGTTGTACGGAATTGACTGGAAAATTTTAGCATTTTCTCATTAAGATTATCACCTTCATACTTTAATTGAACCACTGCCAGTGGTATATCGCAAACATCCTTTTTGATCTCTAAAACAGTAAGCTCTAAAACACCTTCTGTAGCTATTTCATAAAAATAGTCGTTTTCTTCAAAAGAACATATACCTTCTAAAACATTATATCCTGATAGACAACAGGGGAAACACTGCATATTAACATTCAGGAGGTCACCAGGGATATTCCACAGGGCATTTCTGCCAAAATTTACAGCATTCCCGAAGTCCACAAACCTGACCGATATGAGGTCTCCCTCTAGCACATCAGTAACAAGTCCCCTGTAAAAACGTCCATCTTCGATGTATTTAACAATACAGGCCACACCTGACTGAATAACTGAAATGCAGTCTGCACAGAATGCCGCATGTTCTCCAGCAGCCTGCACCTGGGGGTCCAAGCAATCAAGGACTTTTGTGTCGGCAAACTGACACCAAAAATACTCTGGTCCATCAATCACAGTAGCATAGACTTTTATCTTATTTACTTCTGGAAAGTACCAGTTAAGCAATTTAAAATTTGTTTTGCCAGGATCTTTAAGGGACTCTTTAGGAGGAAGAAGAAGGGGTAAAAGAGGAGGAGGAAGAGGAAGAGGGGCACGGGGATGAGAGTCTAACACAGTCTCTGGATTGGTACCTATATTTATCTGGGCAGAAGTTTCTACTTGTGATTTCGCACTAGATATAAATTTGCTCATCATATCTTCTGATATTACACCCTGCTCATCCGTAAGCAAAACATCCCACTTATCTTCAGATTTCATGACAAATTCACAATTTATCTGAGCCTCACCTGTTCTCTCTGAAAAGTAAAGGTCTTGACATTGGTTTTTAGTTGGCAGGATATGAAGCCTACCCAGGGTACAGTGAATACTCATCCCTGGAACTAAGGCATTAACTTTCTGAAGCTTGCTTAGTTTGCTAATGTTGACCACTGAAGTGTTTCCATAGTCTATAAATTGTACAGTGACAAGGTTGCCAGACTGCTCTTTAACTACAGCCCGATACCTCAAGTCATCCTCTGGAAAAACCGCACACAGCAACTCTCCCTTTTCTAGAGGTTGTCCAACAAAACCTTCATGTCTTATTTTATCATCATTTAACTTCTCTGAAATACTCGCAAGTTCATCTTCATCATCGGCTAATTGAATATAAAAGTCTGTTAGATCATTGATATGGGAAACATATACCTTAGTTTTAAAACCAGGCACAATACTCTTCTTAGGTAGATCACAAAATTTAAGTGGTAAGTCCTTATTTCTCTCTAAGACTTGTGCAGAAGGTTGAATAGAATTCTCTCCTATTTTATCAGGTGGGTGGGACACTTGATAATTTTGACTTCCCACAGATTCCTGATAATTAGTTAACAAGCCTATCTTGGTTGAACTTTGTAAGTGTTTTAATTCCTTACATGCTAAACTGATTTTAGGTTTGCATGATTCTCCCTGGATCTCTGATATGCATAATTTGTTTGCTGTTTCGCTGGAATATCCAGCAAGTAATTTCCTATTTTCACTTTTTACTTCTCTAAGGGTTTGGGCTGAAGAGAGAAACTCTTCATTTTCTACTTTCTTTGGCCTTTTGTAACCTAGTAAACCCAACTTCTCATTTATTTTAGCATTAATCTGAACACTACCATCATACAATTCAATAATCAACCTTCCATCTGGATCTTTTGCTACAACTAAAGCCTTCAATGATTTGTCTAGTACAGCCTCTTCAAACCAACCTGCAATTTCTTTAGGAGTATTATCATAGACATCAGACAAAGAACATTTCACAGCTTGCATGGGCAAAAGTAAGAGATCATAAGCATCACCTGGGATGGGAAGCAAGTCTTCATCTGTAACCACATGAACATTCCCAAAGTCAACAAAGAAAACTTTGTTTGGTTCTTTGCCTGTAACTATTCCTCTATACCAATTCTGGTCACTATATTTTGCAAGGCACAAGATTCCAGGGCTTAATGAAGATGTTTTAGAATGTTGTAAGACTTTGCTTAATCGAAAAATATCACTTGACAGCTGCTCTAGCACACCTGAGCTCCTTGCAAGCTGGCAATAAAAGGTCCAAGGTCCATCAACGTGTGTTACAAAAACAGCTTCTTCGCTTCCAATTTTGATGTCATGTGTGGAATAATAGTAGGAATGGAGCTGCATGGAGGATGCTAGAGGTTTCTGAAGTCTAACTTGTCTTGCAAACCCAATTTCTGTTAGGTAGCGGGAAGCACTTTGAAAAGGAGTTAGTAAGTCTACCACATTAAAGAGTTCTTTATTATTTATTGCTGCAAGGGCAAAAATCGTGCATTTCAACTCCAGATTATCTTCCCAGGCATTATCTACAAATTCTTTAAAAGCTTGAATTGCTCTTTCATCCCAAACAAAGGGATTCTGACCAGCTGGTTGAATTAAATTGTAAAGGCTGCATCTAAAAGCTTGAGCCTTTAACTTTAAAAATTCATCATTGATTGAATAGATATTCTTCATAGAGACTACCTCTTTATTTCCATAGTCAACAAATATTACTTTGGCCTTGTCAGCAGAAGGGGTTCCACTAATAATCAAAGCTCTGGACCATTTCCCATTAATAGTACGCTTTGCCAAGCAAGCTGGACTGATTCCCTGGTATGGAGTGGCAGAATTCTTGCAAAAATCCTGAATTTTACACATTAGGGTTCGGAGACTTTGAACGTTTCTGGTCAGTTGGCACCAGAAATATCCAGGGCTTTCAACATAAGACACTTTGACTTCTACTGTGCTCCCAACTTCCAACTGACCTTTACAGGGAGAGTCTGGCTTAATTTCCAAATAATTTTGTACTAGCGGAGAATAGATGGGCATATTTCTAGTTTTCTCTGTTGACTGCATGATTGATTCGCCAAAAGAGCTTTTTGTAACAATTGTTCTTTTAGTCACAACCTCTGAAACTGGAGGCTTGTTATCTTTCTTTCCCCATTGTCCTACTCCAATTTTCCTGGCAGAAGACACTCTGTTACAATCGGCACTTAGTTGATTTGGAATTTGCCCCTGGAAATCAGCAGGTGGCCTGATGTCCATCATCTCAAATTCTTGGTATTTGGCATATCCAGCTTGGGCAATCAATTTGCTTACATTTTCTTCCCCCATCCTTGATTCATCAAGAATTTCAATGACATACTGGCTATCCTGCTTATCAAGAACATGAATGACCAACTCCTTGTGCAGCACTGTCTTTTTGAAATAGGAAATTGCTTCTCGGCTCCAGCTTTCCCCCAAGGGCCAGATATCAGCTAGACAGCACTTCAATGCCACTGCTGGGAGCTGCCTGAACTGGGGAAGCAGCATTTTTACATCATAGCAGCCCACTGTCTCTGTATTGCCCCGATCTACCAAATGCACCTCCACGCTTTTGTCCCCCACCAATCTAGTGACTACAGCCCTATAATACCCATGCTCTTTCCATTTGGCACAGCAGAGATGGTCGGGCACGGGTTGCAGGACTAAGCCATCCAGCTTTCTCGATGAGTAGAAGTTACACATACTCCTCACTAACTTGCCAAAGGGGCCGCTGTGTTTTCTCAATCTGATCCAAAACTCCGAGGGATCTTTAACAAATTCCACCTGGGCATCATAGAAAGAATTAGCCTTCAGGCGCACAGTTTTCAGGATTGCGGGGGACAGGTCATCTTCCAACCCTTCCTCAGGTTCAGACTGCTCCTTCCCTTCCTCTTCTTCTAAGCCTGGGCTCTGGAGAAGTCTGTCCGCTAGACAGCAGGACTGGACCCCGAAAGCACAGTTGAGATTAATCCCATCCTCTCCATATAAGGTTACATAATAAACATGTTCAAAGGAACTATAAAATTCAATTTTGGCATTCACTGCCTGACCTAGGATTAGGGCCTTGAGGTCTCCTACTTGGGAACGAGACCAACCTCGCCCACCATCCCAGAGTCCATACAAGGCACAGGGATAAGTAACTACTGGCATCCGAAAATATTCAGGAAGCAAATATCTCAAACTACCACAGTTCACTAGCTCCTTCCTCCCATAGTCTACATGCAGCACTTGGGCGCAGCGTTGGGGTCGAAAATTCTCCAGCAGCTGCGCACGGTACCACTGTCCGTCCAGGCCACAAGCAGCGCACGGGGAGCCGGGCTTGTCAGGGTTTTCCTCCCTCTCCTCCCAGCTGCTGCTTCTCCCACTTTCGTCCCCGGTACCTGTTGCCCGATAGGCATGGGCCATGCTGTCCGACAGCCGGCGGATCTCCTGGGAAAGGCTGCGGAGCTGGCAGTGGAGGCGGTGGGGGTGGCACACTTGGGTCACCACCACGGGCTCCGTGACACCCAGCTGCAGCTGGGGGTAGAAGTAATCCAAGAGCTGTGGGGGCTCCTGCTTGGGCAGGGCCTGCGGGAGGAGCACTGAGGCCCCCGCTGCATTGATGTAGCGCTTCAGCAGGGATCGAAAGAGGCTGTCTGGCACCTGTTGAGCCAGGCCCAGGTCCTGCATCTGCTGGAACACGGTGGGCACCTCCAGCAGCACCAGGCGCTGGGGAAGAAGCACATCCTGCACACGGCCCTGCACCTCCTTGCCCTGGAGGTGGCCAAGGAAATCCACCGCGCCTCGGGACCACTGCTGGGGCTCCCCGCCTCCACCTCCCCCGAGCGGCACCAGGCTGGTCAGCACGCAGCCCAGCACCTCTGACGGCAGATGGAAGAACTCGTTGCGGCCCGGGGCCAGGGCTGTCGAGTTGGCCGTGACTGTGCGACCTTCGTCCAGGAGGAAGACCCGGCACTCCTGCTCTTGGCGGCTAACCACGCGGCAGCGATGCCAGCGGTGCCCCAGCTGCACGAGGCACAGCTCGCCAGGGTTGGCAGCAGGCATGGCCCGGGTCCGGGCCGCCACCGCCGCTGCAGCCACCTGGATGTCATGGCCCAATCGCATGTACTCCTCCCGCCGGTCGCCCACCAGCCCCCACAGCTGCACGGGGATCACCTCCGGGTGCACGTCCACGAAGGAGATGCGCAGTGTGATGGGGGCGCCGGGGCTGGGCAGTGCGGGCATGGAGCACATAGTGAAGGCGGGAAGCAAAGGAGACGAGGCGAGGAAGGAGAAGCAGGAGAAGGAGGCGAGGGCGGAGAGGGAGGGCTGGAGCGCGGGCAGTGGGCAAGCGAGGCACGGAACTGGGAGGCTGGCTTCTCCCCCGGAGGCTTCCCCCACCACAGGCAGTCCCCGGACACTGGGTAGAACACGTGCTGAGATGGGTCCTCAGATGACCAAGCCCCCAGGAAGAACGCGCCGCGAAGCTCGACGGCCAGTGGGCGACCTGAACCCAAAAGCAGAGGAAGGAAAACTTGTTTAAAAACCGACGGGGAACCGCTTCCCTCGCGCCTTGCCTCCCCTATCCCCGCGCCTGCCTCAGGTAGCCTTCTCGCGGGTCGCCCTCCCGAGCCCCCGCAGCCACACACCCGACCCGAACGGAAATGCTAGAACGCAGACTAACCGCTCCGGCCCCTGCAGCCCCTTATATAGTGCCCGAGCCTGGGCGTGAATGAGTGCCGGGCTTCCGGCGGGCGCGTGTGCGAGGACCTGATTGGCCCGTGCGCGGGGTGGGGAGGAGGGTTGCGGACTGGCGAGGTAGGGGGAAGGGGAGTGGAGAATGGAGTTCTGTGCAAGGCGGGGGTGGGCTTGGTGGTGGGGGTGTAAAGGCCTAGCCGCTAGGGGGCGACGACGGCTTCTGGATAATGGGGCGGGGTCGTGCGATTTAGGAGTCACCCCCCCACCCCAAGTATACACTACCAGCCTAGAGAACTTTTGGACTGGCCATCATAATGCAATGCTTGGGTTCCGGTTGGGGTCCTGCCCCTTACAAGTTTGGTAACCTGGGGCAACCTTTCACCCCTCTTGAGCGTGGGTTTTATTATCTGTTAAGGTGTAAGGAGTAATCAGTGCATGGAGGTGAGCCTTGTCCTGAAAGGCTAGAACAGAAGCCGTGGCAGGCCCTACCGCCATTTATTATTAAACATTAAGTTTTAGGCACAAGCATATGGGCTAGATCCTGAGGATACAAAGAATAAAAAACCTGAATAGTCCCTGTCCTCGAGGAGCTTACATTCAACTGAACAAATACCGGTTGGGAAAGACTTTTGAGTACAGGTCTCCACAGAGTTGGACTATTTCTGTTGCCTCAGAAACTTCTCCAGAAATGGGGCAAATTTCAAGTCCAGGAAAAAAAAAGTTATAAGGACTAGGATTGTAGGATTTAGAGTTGGGAAAAGCTTTACAAGTCATCTAGTCTAAATGTTTCATTTTTCAATTGAAGAGACACATGTAACCAGATGAGGAAACTCATTTCACCCACAAGATTAAGTACCTTGCCCAAGGTTACATAGGTAGCATCTAAGAAAGCCAAGAAATGGACAAGAGGACCTGGGACCTCAAAGGTCATTTATTTAATAGAATCCTCTCATTTTATAAATGAGGAAACTGGGCAACTAGGTGGTGCAGTGGATAGAGCATTGGGCTGGGAGTCAGGAAGACCTCTCCTCCTGAGTTCAAATGTGCCTTCAGTTTTACTAGCTGTGTGCCCTGGGGCAAGTCACTTCACCCTGTTTGCCTCAGTTTCCTCATCTGTAAAATAAACTGGAGAAGGAAATGGCAAACCACTGCAGTATCTTTGCCAAGAAAACCCTCAAATGGGGTCATGTAGAGTCAGACACAATGGAAAAACAACTGAACAACAAGGCAGCTCTTCTACTTCGGCATGTAGCAAAAGGCATTGTATGTACTTTTCAGTGAGGTCACAAAGAGTTAGATATGACTGAACAACAACAAACAATAACAACCCCTTTACATCTCTGTGAATGAATTGCTTTGGTCCAAACATATTGATCTGGTACCAGGTGGCCAGATGGTCAGCCTTTGTGGTAGAAAGAATACTAAGTTTGGAGTCAGAAGACTTGGGATGGAATCCACACTCATGTGACAAGCTACTAACTCCCCCACCCTGGGCATTAGTTTACTGTTCTTGTTGTTCAGTCATGTCTGACTCTACATGACCCCATTTGGGGTTTTCTTGGCAAAGATTCTGGAATGGTTTGCCATTTCCTTCTCCAGCCCATTTCACAGATGAGGAAACTGAGGCAAGAAGGGTTAAGTGACTTGCCCAGAGTCATAAAGCTAGGAAGTGTCTGAGGCTGTATTTGAACTCAGGAAGAGGAGTTTTCCTGACTCCAGGCCTGGTGCTCTATCCACTGTGCTACCTAGCTACCCGATTTTCAGGAATACTGCTGTAATAGTCTGTAAATACACATGCATTTTATACACAATGAAATAGCACACTGTTAAGTTTTCAGTGTGTACATTTACACATTGGAAATTGATAAATGCTACAAATTAGGGCTTGAGTTAATATATTGTTCCTTGTCTAGTCTTAAGAAATTGATGGAGAAAATGTTATCAGAGCAGATTAAACTTAAAAGTATGTCATTTTTTCCCCAGAGAGCTGGTTATTAAATGTTTACCAGCATGCCATTATTTATGTATCATTGAGTTGGTAAATTCCTATTCAGTTTTGTATAAAATTGGGGAATTACAGGACAGTACAGCTTGGCTTCATAATAATTTAGCTTTTAACACAAACATTGATGAAAATGAGTTAGAATATTGCATAGCTTGTTAGATCATACAATTTCCTAAGTTCCTGTAGTAAGCCTCTCAGAAGTGTGTGAAAAAGGGGCAGCTAGGTGGCACAATGGAAAGAGCACTGGCCCTGGAGTAAGAAGGATCTGAGTTCAAATCCAGCCTCAGACACTTGACACTTACTAGCTATGTGACCATGGGCAAGTCACTTAACCCCAATTGCCATAAAAAAGTGTGTGAAAACTGCACTTCCCATCTCTCTCCCCTAGCCCAAAGTTGATTAATTGATTTGCTTTATTTATTAATATTACTAATTCACTTTATTTAATAAGAATTTATTTAGAAATTACCAGTTACACACCATTCTGCTAGTGACAAAGCTTAATTAGGTATTATTGCTATCCTCAAGCAGCTTACTGTCTGAAAATGAAAAAAAAAGTAATATTACATGTAATATGATATATATAATAAATGTAATAATAAAATGTATAATATGAAAATATCATGAGAGAAGTTCGAACAGGGGCTATGGGATTTCAGTTATTGACTTTGGCCTTCAATTTGGGAATTAGATTTTGGGACCTTTCCCCCTCCCCCCATGCTTATTTTACTTCTAGAAGTATGATCAGGTAAGGATTTTTAATGGATAACGTAAATTGCAAAAGAGGAGAGACTATAGAGAGATGAGCACAGAACACAAGTCTGAAGTGGCATTGGGGAATGACAAATACATTGACCCCTCAGCCTGGACCTATAAGTTGGGAGAAGTGGGAAGAAGAGATTTCTATTAGAGGGAGTTTCAAAGGTAGTCTTAGGGGTTGAGGAATAGTGGCAAGCAGATGCAAGGAGCTCTTGTGAGAAAGGCAAAGGATATATGAGAGCTTGCTCACAATGGAAAGTGGAGGAGTGAGGGGAAATGGAATGAGTCTGGGGAAAGTTAGAACTGATCTGGACAGGGATGAGGGGGAAGCACTTAGAGGGATCTAGTGAAGGAGAGATGTGTGCCTAGATGACTTTGTGAATAACAACTTAATGTTTGATGGATGGATGGATGAACTGAATGAATGACAAGAGGCAAGATATTGAGAAATAGGCTTGAGGAAAATGGGTGGATAATGGATAAGTGGGATGGGATACAAGAAGGTAAAAGAATTATTGAATATATTTAATTTTATTATTCAAAGAGTTTGCAGAACTAATAAATTTTATAGTTCCAACTGGAATGTTGGTTGAAGTCCTTAAAAATTTGTCTCTTTACATTTTGTACTAAGAACAAAGAGGTAGAGAGAAATACACACACACACACACACACACACACACACACACATTTGCTCCTAAAATATATCATTGTTGTTAATAATAGGATGAACTAACACTTTCCAGTTAAGTTTCGTAGTAACTAGGAGGGACAGTGGATTGAGTGCTGGGCTTCAGCAATTAGTACAGTGCTTGGCACATAGTAATAGGTGCTTAATAAATTTTTATTGAATTGAATCAGGAAGACCTGAGTTCAAATACTGCCTAAGACTGGTTGTTGTCTTTCTTGCTCAAAGAAGAACAAAATGATATCATTATGTTGGGGTCAAGGTACAGTGTTCCAACTGTAGCTGATCAGACAAGCTCAGAAGGCTCTATCACAGGTTGGGCACAGATAGTCCATATGCATATTTGGAGTGGAGATGTCTCTAAATTTATGCATCTCACGTTTCTTTCGAGCTACTGAAATTCTACTTTGCTCAAAGAGCACAAGACCTTCTTTCATTCAGGCAGGTCAAGCTGGGTGGTCCTGTGCTAGTGTCTCCCATGTCTCACAATCGATTCCAAAGCTCTTCAGAGAGACCTTGAGAGTGTCCTTGTATTGCTTCTTCTGACCTCCATGTGAGCACCTGCCTTGTGTGAGTTCTCCATAAAATAGTGTTTTAGGCAAACATACTTTTGGCATTTGAACAAAGAGACTGGAAGGGACCTCAAAGGCCATTTGAGTCATTTTATAGATGAGGAAACTGAGGCTGAGAAAAGTTTTTACATGACACCCAGGGCCACACAACTAGCAAGTGTCTAAGGCAGGATTTGAGCCTAGGTTTTCCTGATTCCAAGTCCAGTGCCCTATCCACTATGTCACATTGCTCTCACCCTCCATTTCCATATCTGTAATAAAGGACTGAGGCTGAATTTGAACTCAAGCCTTCCTGACTCCAGGCCCAGCATTGGGCCATTTAGCTGCCCACACTTACTAACTGTGTGACCCTGGGCAAATCACTTAACCTCTATTCACCTTAATCCGTTGGAGAAGGAAATAGCAAACCACTCCAGTATCTTTGCCAAGAAAACACCATGGACAGTATGGTCCACAGGGTCACAAAGAGTCAGACATGACTAAACAGAGCAAATAGAGAACTAATACTTCACACTTACCTCACAGGGTGGTTGTG